GTATATATAAGTTGTAATAAATGTAGTAAATTTAAAACAATTATCGTCAGCGTTTTTCTATGCACCGCTAGAAGGAAGCTTATCAAAGATATCGTTATGATGATCCGATTTGAGATTCGTATCCATTTTGCTACAGTGAACTTCGTCACACATCTTACCACTGGTTTGGAGGTCTTCCTTTGAGCCGTTTTTTCTTTCTTAGAATGCTGGTAGACCTCAGGTTCAGCGATGGTCGCTTCCTTCAGCAGCGTGTTATGACTAATGCCACTTTGGCTTCTTGATCTTCATTTTCCATGACCTCTTCTCCTTTCGGGTAGCATGGGCGGACGCATTAGCTTCCAACGTTCCTGATCCTGTGCCAGAGGCTGAGCTTCAGTAGAAGACATGAAGATGACTTCTTCCATATATCTGAACAGGTTAATCCCGGCTTCTTTACTCGGGCAAGGACATTGCAGATTCTTGTTCGTGCTATTTTGAGTTCATTCGTCCTCCTATCCTTTTTCTTATTCCCATCAAACACCTTCTATTGCAGCGCTACATAGCTTGAGGTTTAGGACATAATAGACTTAAAATCCAGGTTTCACAGCCATAGGCTAGCTGTGAGTGCACACTTCCCGAAATCTTGCGGTTTCAACCACAACGGCAGTTTCCGGATAAGGTCATTTTTCATCTTTTCCATGGATTAACGATTTACTTCACGTTAGCGCCTACTTAAGAAGAAAGGACTCGTACGAGGAAGTATCAAATGCATTTGCAGGATCAAAATATTCTTCCTCAGCAAGTAGTGCTTATGATCCGATTTAAGAATAAACGTTTGTCAACCTGACATGATTGATTTGAATGCATGCATTTTCCGCGTGATAGTTTGAGTAGGGGCTGTACTTGCAGTCTGCCGGTGGTCCGCTGGACGTTGCTCACTTGCATCACTGAGGGAAAAGACCTTCCTCCATTCTCATATTAAAATAAGCAGAGGGTTGATCGCATTTAATCTGGCTCTGGCCCCAAACGAATCCAGCCAGCTTCTCCTGGCACTGCTTCGCGGGTCATTGAGGAAAGGAAGCTCCTCGGTAACATCACACCTGCGACCTCCGGTGGGTGCATTATAAAAATATTCTTTCATATATTAAACTCATTTTCGAAAATGGAATTTCGTTGTTCTACAGGGAGATGCTTCTAAAGATAGAAAAATCGTTCTGTGCTGCAACAAGTGCGACTTGAGGAAGGACAATGATCCAGACGGCTTCGTCAGTACTAATGATGGCAGAGAGTTGGCAAATGTACACTATTTTTAATGCATAGTATTTTATTCAGTTACTTATTAAGATATTTAGTCCATTAACGCGGACTTCACCGAGGTCAGTGCGAAGGATGGAACGAATGTCCAGCACATGGCGTTGACACTGGCGAGGTAACTATGTTTATTTAAACCGTTAATGCAGCGATATTCCTCCAAAATAAAAATATCTTAATTACTTTGGTTTTTAAATGATGATAGGATGTTAATCGGTCGAATAACCAGTTTATCAATATTTCAATATTTGGTATCAATCAATTGTCGTTTCTCTGTTTAAAAGATAATCGGCAAAGAGACAATAATCTTCTTAAAATCACAATGATCTCTTGTTTGCCTTAAGCTAAAAGTCGCAGTTAAGCTAACGTTTGATTCTTACTAAACAGGTTTTTTAAAGACTGATATAATGAATTATTTTTTAACTTTAACCATGTACATTGCATATATTATTCCTGTCATCTGCAAGATCAACGGTATAATGATAATAGACACTATTTTGCATCATGTTATACTCAAAGCAAGACGCTACATGTTTGTTCGCAATATCCCTTCTATGATGATGATCTGAGGGATGTGCTGAATATAGTAAATTTTGTGGAAATGCGACTATTGATTAAGGTCGCGTTTTTGTTTCAGGTGTCTCCTCAGGAAAGAAGTCACTGAATATGACCACGAAAAAACCATTCTGATAGAAGACACAAAACCGAAGAAAAAATGTCTAGGTTGTTCATGAAGAATCATTTTACACGAATGTATAAATGTTATTTAAATATCATTTATTTCACTCTGCTAATACAAATTTGTTGGTTTAAAATTACTCCTATGAAAAGCTGGATTATGTTTTTGCTGAACTAACGCAACTGCTGCTTATTCACCCTATTGATCTGCTGTTAGCTATGAATTTTACAGCGTGATTTTAGCCGTTGCAACATTCTTATAGCTTTCCAAAACAAGGTTTCACGGAATATGACGCAACCTTAGTTCCTCACATGAAGTTTGAAAGTTTACTGCTTGAATGGAATCACAAAAGTACTCCATCTCTCACGCGATGATTATCACATTCAATGGTTGCACACGAAAACAAATAGCAGTACCATTTTACATTGAGTAAACAAATATGACGACTGTGCCTTCTTCGATGTCGAGCGTCGAGCAAGATTCCCGTTTCCTGAATGCCCGTAGGGGCAGTTTCGTAGCGATTTTACAGAGCACCGCGAGAATAATGCAACCTGTCAATTAATAATTAATGAATTGATTAACGCCTTAATTAATAACTGCTGAGGAAAGCACAGCAAATTAACTCAGATATAACAAAAGAATGGTGACCTGGAACAAAACACGTATCCACAAACGTACAAGAAAGTACTTTGGGTTGAACTGCCAGAGTTTACCACAGTGATTACCAGTAATGACAGGGGAACGGAGAACTGACTTCTCAACCAACCTTTTAGTCGATTCACTGGCAGTTATTTCACCTGGCCGTTGGTCCATGGCATTAGAGCACTTGATTTACATATACTTGCTTGTCACCAATTACGTTTAAGGATTAGTTTTCAACCGACACTAATATAAGACTTCAAAAATACTTGATCATATACCCAAGTGTCTCAATAAGTTCAAATCTACTCTAAACCAATATTCATTAAAAAGATTGATGGCATTAATGCATTGAGACAAGGATGAAGAGGGGAAGCCGACGGTAGACGAAGAAGGCCAACGTATCAGCGACTGGAGATGCATATACATATGTATGTATGTATGTATGTATGTATGTATGTATGTATGTATGTATGTATGTATGTATGTAT